TATATTAGCATTCGCTATTCGGTAATTAAATTAATTTAAGCTTTTCAGCAAATCAAACTGTTCAAATAATTAGGCATTCTATAATTCTGAGCATAGTTTCAATATTAATTGGAAAAAAGAATTACATATTTTATTATTCTCAGCACAATTCCAATATTAATTGAAAAAAAGGAACTACATATTTTATTATTCTCAGCGCAATTCTAATATTAATTGGAAAAGGGGAATTACATATTTTATAATTCTGAACAAAATTCCAACATTAATTGAAAAAAAGAAAGAAAAGTTTAGTTAACGTACAATTTTATAATTCTGAGCACAATTTTCAGAGATCACTTTTAGTTCCATGTGCGCTGAAAATAGTTCCGTATATTCTGAATATTAGTTGAAAATTTGGAAAGGTTCTTCGAAAATTAGTTGAAAAGCACAGTTCAACTGACCCCTTAAGATGCACTTTAAAAAAAAAAAAATCCTAAATAAAACGACTTCCTGAATATTATATTACATTGCTCGAGTTTATTCAAGCATGTAAATTATGGTAACATAAAATGCGTCGCTGCTCGAGTTAATTCGAGAGCGCACATTTCTGTCATTATCGTCCACGTGAATTAATTCGAGCATGCGCGTTAAAGGGTAAATGATCACAATTTTTACAGTTCATTTTTTACTTCGCGTGCACCAAAGATAGGCCGATAAAGTTGTTAAAAATTCCTTGAAAATTGAGAAAAAAGTAGAAAAGTGTACAAGCTCAGATTGGTCCAAGAAGTTGCAAAGAGCGTGTGTTGTATCTTATTAAAAATTCCCGCCAGTCTTACCTAAACTCTCACAATATTGAAATAAGCCAAGCAAAATTTCGTAATGTTGTACCACGACAGATAAACGCGGGGAACGTTGAGAACGACAGTACGGCACGCGGAGACCACGATGGTATCCTACTTTCTTATCGAAAAAGGCGAGGTTCGGTTCAGAACACTTTACGACCTAACCTAACTGCATAACGTTTATCGATAATCCTCCACGTCGCTGGGTAAATGTTTACGAGACGTTCGCGGGAGAACACGTAATAAAATCTAAGAACGATATTGCAATAGTGCACAGCCAGCGTTGAAACGCGCGTTACGTTCACTGCGCGCCCGATCGAACGACCAATCGAAGCAATGGGGTTAACCCCTTTGCACTAGAACTGCCATCTCGAGTAGTTGCTACTTCCTGTCTCCTTTATTTTTAACATCGATCCAATCGTAGAAACGTTTTCATGGAATGAAATAGCGTAACAGGTTAATAGTTTCTATCCTTTCAATTGTCGACTCGAATACTCTATTACATTTCTAAATACCTACCGATCAAAGGGTTAATCTTGCTATTATTACTAGAAGAAACACATTCACCGATGTTGTTGAACAATAGAATATTCGCATATGATCCTTGCTAATTTTCAGAAAATAATCTACAGCTCGTATTCTATTCTTTCACTTGTTGGCTTGATATTCTACTATATTTCTAAATGCCTTCCAATCAAAGGGTTAATCTTGCTATTATTACTAGAAGAAACACATTCACCGATGTTGATGAACAATAGAATATTCGCATATGATCCTTGCTAATTTTCAGGAAATAATCTACAGCTCGTATTCTATTCTTTCACTTGTTGGCTTGATATTCTACTATATTTCTAAGTGCCTTCCAATCAAAGGGTTAATCTTGCTATTATTACTAGAAGAAACACATTCACCGATGTTGTTGAACAATAGAATATTCGCATATGATCCTTGCTAATTTTCAGGAAAGAATCTATAGCTCCAAATGAAACGTCGATTTTAAAAATTAATTAAATTCCTGAAATTACCATAGCTGTTATATTTTGAAATTAATTAAATTCCAGAAATTACGATTTCTGTATAATTACCAATCCCTCTAATAGCTCCATTCTTAATCCTTTCAACGAAGAGAATTCCAAACGCAATAAACAAAATAAAAATCTCCAATACGGAAGATTCAAGATCTACAGAAACTCTCTCTAGAAATACAGAGCAAACCTAGTATCCGCAAACAGCGATGAACAAACGATCCAAATGAAGTTTCGCAAACGCGTTTCGCGTACCGCGAAAATGGACTGAGCTCGGGGAGCGTTTAACCCGGGAAAACATAGGTGTAAAAATATTTCGCGTCGCGCAAAATTTACCCAAAAATTGTCAAATTTTGTTCTTCACGAACTTACAAGCTATTATCAGAAGTTTTACAATTTTCCTTCTTCCTACGAAAAAATGTCCTTGGAAAACCTGCGAGTAGATATTTCCAGTGTTGCACAAAATTGTCGAATAATTTCGATAAAATCGGTAGATAAATAAATTGCCGAACCTCTTTTCTACAAACTCAGAAATTTTACAATTTTTTGTCGCGGAAAAATGTCCTTGGAAAATCCGCGCACAGGTAATTTTATCGTTACACAAAATTATCGGGTAATTTCCGTAAAATCAATAGGTAAACAAGAAATTCTTAAAAAGAAAAAAAATAATTCGGTCACGAAAGGGTTAAAGTGATATCGGGGGATGCAACGACGCGCATTAAGGACTTGACCGAGTTTGTTCGCGCGGGTCAGACTCGTGCTCGCCCACGTTCGACACACCGATTTCATTACTATTTTCGTAGCCACCTGCACTTGCCCGCGCTCTTATGCTCGACGTTCTCTCGGACAGGAGGAAAGCCTGTCCTGAGCACGGCCTCTGGCGTGCCCACGTTTGTCCGCGATAGACGAACGATTTTGCAATTTGTTTCACCTTCGCTGGATCCTTGACACTTTCGTGGTGTGTCGTTGTTCGCGATACTCGCGCTCCCGAGGAGTTGCTAAACGACTCGGCGACGAGCAAACTGTTACGTGGTCGATTCTAATGGTCGTGAAAGGAAATACGATCATCGAAACAAAAGAAACGAACCTTTCAACGCAGTTTCGTATTTTCTCATCGCGCTTTCAGTTTGACTTTTTCGTGGTACGCTGTTGCTTTCTTCGAAAGTAGTTCAATTCGTTGCTACCTCTAACTTTGTTCATTTACCACGTAGAAAAATAATAATTCGGGATTTAGTGGGTTAAGAGGCGAAAATGGAGAAACAGAATTGAACGGAGTGTTCGTTGTTCGTTGAAACTAAGTTGAGTTGGAATTAACGAAGAGGTTTTGAGAAAAAAGGTCACTTTTCCGAGAAAAGTGACTCCTTTTCCAAATACCAAATGAAAAATAATCAAAATGAAATATCAAATGATCAATTGTACACAAACGTTTTTATAAAAATTTCAGAATTCAGAGCTTTACAGAAAATCTCAAAAAACAAAAATGGTCACACTTTTCCATTTTCCAGAAAAGTGGCTACTTTCTCGAGTACCAAATGAAAAATAATGAAAATAAAATCGTCGTAGTCATTCATACAGTAAACAAATTTTATATAACCATCTGCTCAAAATGTCAAAGAAAATTCTTTTCATTTTCAAAGAAAGTGCCTCCAATGAAAAGTAATAAAAACGAAATTAATTCAGAATTCCACAGAAAATTCATCAGAACCTTCTAAGCGCTTCGAACTACCGATAAACGATAACAAGAACTAGTTACTTTTCCGCCCAAAAAAAAAAAAAAAAAAAAAACGTGTGGGAACAGGCTAAAAGGTGAGAACGAAGTGTTTGAACGCGTCGCTCCGGTCTTTATTCGATAAAGGAAGCGGATCCGTCCGAGACTCGGCCGATTATTGCAAAAACCGACTTCGCATGAACCAGCCAGGAAAGGATGTGGATACAGGCGGAGCATTTTTGCGCGCGACGAAATGAGTTTCCGCGGCGAGCAACGTTCAAAGCCAGGCAGCACAGCCTAGGCTCGGTCTGATAAGCATCGGCGAGAGTTTAACGAGGGAGTCTAATCTGAGAATAATATCGAGCGCTGCTTTATTGTATCATAAATAATACGCTTGAACACGATGAAGGAGAACAAAAAGGGAAACTCTGTGGTATGAGGTTGAACTAACTGTACGAAAGGAAATAACGCACGTTTGGGGGAAAACGGCGGGGTGGTTAGATGCGCAAAGTGTGTCAGGAACGGGACAGACTTTCCTTCGCGAAAAGCGTTAGCTGATGCCTTAACAGCGTCGTTAATTAAATCAGCGTAACGCAGCGTACGAATCAGCGCGATACTTGCCCTACATTCGAAACGGCGAAAAAAATAAGCTCGTCGAGGATTTATCGGGCTAAGCTTCAATGGTTCATCGTTTTTGTTCCCGAGGACGAACAATCGCCAGCTAAAAGCCCCCCTTGCTATTCTTTTAATGAAAAAACGAACCTGCACCGCGTCCGAGCAATTAACCGCTCTGTGTTCGTTTCGCGAGGAAAATACCGGCGAACGAGGTGCTGGGGGGTGTAATGGCGGAATAAATGAAGGAACGATAGAATATTTATCGCGTTCTGTTGTATGGAGATAATGGAGAATATTAGATAGTAGATATCGGGTAATATGTAGAAGTACTTTGGAAATGTAACAAAAAGTACACCCTGTAGATCTATATTTTAAAGTGAACATTTTGATTTCGTCGATCTGTCTTGGAAATTCAAAAGTGTGCCTATTTTTGTAAATACGTCGATAAACGAAACGATTTTCGAAATGGTATTTTTGTGAGGGAAGCAATTTCGCATTTACTTCGAATCATCCCTGAGTCATACGTAATACGCATTAATCTTTAATTACTAAGCTTCTCTTTGTACTAGACTTATCGTCGTTCAAATATTTATTTTTTACGAAGAAATTTACGAAGATATTTTTCACTATTAATTGCGCGTTCGTAAATAGGCGGGAAAGGAAAATTTAGTACGCGTAAGTCAACGTATCAGCTGTACTATACTCTGCTAGCAAATAAACACGTTAAACAGAAATCCAGCGTCGAAAGTACGGAACGCGCGTAACGCGAGTTCATAACCTATCTTGGAAACAAGCAGTAATGGAGGTAAACAAACAAGTGAGCACACTTACGTTTGCAGCGCCAGCTTGATGTCGAAGGTGATCGTGGTGCCCGTGTCCACGTGAAATATGTACAGCATCTTCGGGCCGGTGTGGCTTCTTCCAGTCCGACGACAACAGCGAAACGGTCAGCCCGCCCTAGGGACACCACTGGCATCCGGTGGAGCTTGGTGTCCGGTGGACGGGACGCCCGACGAACAGCGGCTCTGTCACTATCTCAGCTCAACTCCTGTAGTCAGCTCGATCGGGGCCGTACCCCTCGGTTCTCAGCGCTCGCGAGTACGGCCCCCTCGGGTTTATGCCGCATCGATCACAAATCCGTCCGTCGTCGTCGATTCACGTCAACTATGGCTCGAACAGCCTTGCTCCGCGTTACGGTGGCGAATCTGTCTTACACGCGTTGCTTCTTCCTTATTATACTCTTTAACGACGGACAAGTATAGGTATCGCAGTAGAGGATCGCGCGCGAAACGACGAAAATACGAGCAACGGCGAAAGAGTACGAGAAATGCGACGCGACGATGTGTACACGCTCGTATATATAGGTATCTGTGTGATGCGCGTGAATGTGGACGTATATAATGTGTATATGAGTAGATTGGTTGAAAAGAAAGCAGCGAAGGTTCTTGTCGTTCGGTCTAGCTGCCTTTGTACGCTCCTTGGAGATTCGTAAAAACACGTAAACAATAGTAGAAGCAGGAGGAAAGAGCGATATATCACGAGATCATTGGTAACTAAGAAACAAGTCCCACAGCCTTCGGGAGGGAAGCTATTGTATACAGTCTCTTCGAGGGCCCGAGAGAGGATCGGGTCGGGAAACGAATAGGCGGACCGTGGTACGGTCCGCACGATCGTTATTTACAGGACGGCTCTGAGTGATTTTCGTTCCGGCCGAGGGTCGGTGACGGGAACGAACGGGAGCGTAGTGTCCCTTGGAAACGAAAACTGACACACACACACGTACAGGTCTCGTAATAATAATCGATCACTAGAATCGTAGAATATCACGTAGCAACGATTCTTGATTACGCCGTCGTTTGGTCCGCCTGACATTGAGGATAGCTGTCGCGAGTATGGGTTGCACTGTTGCTCCCCGAGAGTATCGGTCGATCGCGTCCTCCGGTTTTCGTGATGTAACAGAGCACTCTTGCTACGACTCGACGATCTGTTTAAACACAGTTTACGAGACGATCGCCGTATATACGATGTAACGTCGTGTACACGAAACGCGCGTAAAATCGCTTGAAAAGAAGCACCGCTGCAGCGATGGAGGACTGGACGACGCGATAAACGAGTAGACCCGGATCAGCTGCTCGTCAAAACAAAGCACTCGCGCGTACACGAAGGGCCAGCGATCCTTTCTCCTGAACGGTTGGTACGCTGTCCTGGTTCAAAACGCAGCTCAACACAGCTACGGATGTCTTCTACGTTCGTTTGTGCAGGAAATAGAAGCAACGTGAGATCAAGCAGGACGCCAGGATTTCGTTTTATATCGCGGCGAGCCGTGTATACTTCGAGAGTGACGTACCGACCACACAAACAATGCTGCGCCACTCGCACGGGAACCTATGCGCAGAGATCGTAGCACGGAACAAAGAAACTCCACTTTCGCCACGGATTTTCACGATTATTTCTCGTGTCCTCCGTTCAGGTACTGTTCACTGACACTTGTCTGCTTCGCGTCGCTGCCGAATTTTCACCGCGAATGCGCCGAATGCTTGCCCGTGAACGTCCACTTTAACGAAGCTCTTGCACCGTGCCAGAGAGAGAGAGAGGGGGCAACTAGCTTGGCGCAGTCCCGTTCGACATTTTGCTCTGACGCATCGCGTCGCCAGCTGTTTACTGCCGAGTGTAGACCTCGTCGAGCACGGAGGACAGAACGTCTGCTCGCCGTGCGCTCCGCTTACGCAGATATTCCACTCGCCACTCAGCTGTTCGTCCGCGATCGACGCGCCATCTTCTTAGTGAAAAGATGGCGTGGGCAAAGCGTGCGGTAGTTTGAACGTGCAGGTATTTGAATTACGATAATTTTTAGTCAAATCCGTTGTTTCGTTCCTTGTACAATCCTTTTTAGAGTGTTGAAGCGTGCCTGACTAATTTTTGATACATTCGATAGCAATTCTGGTAGTTTTATGTGTGTTGTGTGTGAATGATGCAACCGCTCGTTTGTTGTGCATCTGTATCGTTTGAACCGCGTCATGCGCAACAAATGATCGTGGACGAAATGGACTCTACTGTTATTCTTTCATGGATGAATTGCAGCATTGGACGTGAGCCAATTCTTCACGAGACTGTTATGTGAGTAATGAATAACTGCTTTCAAATATTATTTGGAAAGGGAGGTAATATGAACTGACTTGGTACTGTAAAGAACAACAAACTTAAGTGATTGATTGGACTGACAAATTCGTTTCAAAATATTAATAACTTTTACGATGTTTCATTAAATCCCTATTATCTTTTATTTCATGCAATTACAAGTCACAAAAATTATACCCGTATAAATATTAATTTTAAAAGAACTCATAAAACTAATAGCGCTGCCATCGACGTAGCATATTAACGCGCATGCGCAGAGCTATAAACAACCCACCGCCATTATCGCTTCCGTGTGGAGACTCTTTACTTCAAGTCTACTGTGAAAGGGGAGAATGATGGAAATTTCGTGTTGGTAGCGTGGGGCCGTAGCTGCACGCGCTGTGTTTGTTTATATACCGTAACGCTGTCGTGGCCAGAAAGCTGTTTAAAACTAAACGTTCCTGCCGTTTCGAGAGCGCACAAGCGCGTGAAAACGTCTCATGAATACGTGCCTTGATTTTCATGAAAAAAAAAAAATGATAAACCTCACACGTGAACAATGTAACCATCCGAAATAACCGCTGCCATTCGTATACAATCAAGATTGTTGCGCAGTTTGCTTATAGTTCCACGTGTGCGCCTAATGCGTTGTTTATTTAGCAAATTAATATCGAGCTTGGTCTAGAGAAGAACGTCATTGTTCGTACCGTGTCGTCTTATATTGTAAATATCGTTTAACTGCGTGATCCAGCGGCAATACGAAGTGAAACGATTCCCCGTACCAGAAAAAGGCATAACAATATTTACCTCGTCGGAGAATCGTTCACCTTTCGCCGCGAGGCCAATACCATGTACATACGTTCTCGCCTCTATCCCGAGCATTGTCTCACGCGTAATGCCAAATCGATACACAAGAAAATCACGAGCCACGGTTATAGTGAACGTGCCGCCTAACTACATGGTGAATTTTAATTCCGTCGCGGTTTGTCCGCGCGCTCACGGCTGCATGCGTAAGCTTCGGTGTGAACGTATGGCTAGGAACTTACTACGTCGTAACTCTTACATTAACTCACCCCGGGACCGACGCAGTAGAGGCGATCTCGGCGCGTGTGTGCGCACGTATTGGTGCGTCGACACGTGGCACACGATAAATTCATAAACACATAGTCGTATATACGTACGTTTCGTTATCGCGAATTAAAGGACTCGCGTGAGTAGGGAGGAAATAGATACGATGGTAAAAATATCATAGCGCGTGAAGCACGAGATGTCGTTGTGTGCGGTCGTGTGATAAACGAGCTTCTACCTCTACATGCAACACTGTCGCCCGTGGACACGTGTTACATTCCGTAACCAAGCGTATTCGCCGTACATTTTACGCAAGGGAGGAAATTTCTTTTTCCGTGTTCGAGCATTGTTATTTCTGAATACAATCGTTGCCTCGATGCCAGCCGATGATAATCGTTTCCTCGATTAGTCATATACCGTTATATTCCGCGCGAAGTAATACCGCGACGCAACTCAATAAAAAAAGGCTGTTGCACATAGGATATCTAACTACGTCATTCTTTTTATTGTGACAATATTCGTTCATTGGGTCATTTCAATATCTGCGTACCGTATTTTCTCAATTCGATAAGTCGCATGACGGTAATTAAAGTGTCATTGATAAACTGATTCGAAGATATCTCGTCGAACTGATTACACATAATTAATACTTCTTTTTTGTGTACATATATCTCGCGTCTGATTATGACTGTCATATATTTAAAAAAAAAAAGAAAAAACAATTTTACTACGTTCTGAGCAAACAGCTGTTTTGTTGTTCGAAAATTACACGCATGAAATACAAAAGTGGTCCAAAAGTCGTTTTACCGTTTAAAAAATTAATAACTCTTTTTCTATCATGTTTTCAGATTTTCGACTTTAGATTGAGAATTTATTTCGAAAATATTCAGGACAGAGCGTAGTACAAAAATAATTGAGCGTTGAAACGGTAACGCGACTTATGGACCACCCTGTACAAACGAGATAAATAGCCCTACTTTCACTTGTCAAAATATTGATAGAGGAACTATCGATATGAGCGCAGATTAGATGAAGAAATTACTCGACCAGGGCCGTACCGTTTTAACCAATTCACAGCCGGTAGTCCTGCACGCGGCTGGGGACCATTAACGACCGTTTTCCCCTCGTAAAAAACGCGAACCTTGACGCTTTGCCTCGTGGTAAGCTGTCGATGCCTGATTTCTCGATTTTGTGATTGCGAAATGTTGCGCGAGCATAATGTAACCGTTCGACGCCGTTCCGCTGGAAAGTCGAAGGGGAAACCGCGCAATAGCGAGTGCGCCACGTTCTCCCAACTGTATTTTTTCTTTCTTCCTTTCTTTTTTTTTCTTTCTCGTTCGGTTCCATCGCGAGCGTGTACACACGACAACGATCAATTATCTTTCGAGCATTGCGGAAAAATACGGCACCCTGCATAGGAACGACTTTTTATTCCCCTTCATTTGCATATATGCAAATCGAGTAAAATGTAACGAGTCACCAATAATTGCGCACGTGCCTGCCTCCGAAGTAGCGATAACGCAACGAAGACGGTGAAACGTTGAATGTTATATGCATACAATGTGTGTACAGTTAGGTTTATTACCAGGTTCGAAAATTTTCTCTCGGGTGAAAATGAATTTTTCAATTATCAGCATCTGTACTTTCTCCGTTCACGTTTGCCGGCTTTTCCGTGAGAACGTTCCTGATTCCCGACTGCTTGGACTGTAAATACACGGTAGTGGGTAGTTTCAAGTTCTACGCAGCTGAACAAAGCTAAATCGGGCACGGAAATTCGATTCTGGGCTAGCCGTAGTAGTTTTGATTCTTCTCATCTATATCGTGTATTTCCGTGCTCTCGAATTACAAACTCGACGTTTCATTTTCCACCGAGAATACAATAGTAACTTTTCAAACAATAATAAACTTAGGATCTTATAGGATCTTTAGAAAAATCTCATTGATAAAAAGTTGCGCCTAAAATACAGAAACTTTCTTTATCTTATCTGCTGTTCATATCAAGCTTCATTCTTTCATATCGCTTCCTTCTACGTATTTGTTTATTTCCGCGATATACTTTTTAATTAATCTAGATCTTCAGCTTGTCAAAGGGTTTCTTTTGAGCCCTTTTACCTAGACCTCATGTTAGGTTATGTTAGGTGGAGGTTTCGTTTGACGCAATAATAAACTCATAAATACACCAGCAAAATATAAAAGCTGGTAAAAATACACGAGATCAACAGAATCCCCATCAGATAAATAGAAGATCCGATCCAGTAATCCGATCCACCCGTATCCCTCAGAAACCTAGAAGAAGAAGAAGAGAAGTGTAGTGTACTTCGCGCACGAGATCGTGCAACAATTTCCTGTCGCGACGAATAATAATTCAATTACCCGAAGGTGGGGAGACGAGCAACGCGGAAAAAGGCTCAGCCGCCAACACGTGAATCATTGGAAGCCGTCGAACGATCGAATGGGAGAAAGGACGATGGAGAGTATACATACTTTGTATAACGTGAAATCGAAGTAAACGAACGTCGCGTCGGTAGGGAAGGGAGGAGAAGGTTTTCTTGCGTTTACATGGTACAGCAGCGGTGGGGGAAGAAGAGGAGACGCGCGACGAGCCCGTGAGATCCTTACGTGTGCGCGACACACGCGCGGTTTCCAGCGTCTCTCTCGTTTTCTCTGTCTGACAAGAACGAAGGTCTCTCGTTAGGCTTCGTAGCACGCGAATCGCTGGAGAGCCATGCGGGAGGTGCGTGGCCAGAGCGAGGTCAGCTCACGCACGCGCACGTCGTGCGTGCCTCGTATTATATGTTACATGCTACGGACGTCCCGTTCGAACCGGCAAAGGCGTAACCGGGCGAAAAGGGCGCAGCCTGGTGCCTCGTTTATTAGGCCGTTGTATAATGAATATCGAATTTTTTTTTTTATCAGTCAGATCTACGTGAACCCGCGCGGTCAACGGACGCAGGTTACATGGTAGCGTTCTGTGTACGTAGTAGTTCGTAGGGTGGTTTACGTTTGGAGGTAAAGTTTCAGATTTGTTATCGGTCTACGACACTTTGTTTATTTCAACTCTTTGCCTTGTAACGACGAATTAGACTCGTGACAGAAATTCTGATTAAGGTGCGACAAATATGAATCGTACAGGTTTTGCACTCGAAATTGAACTTTTTGCAAGTCAAATTGAAACTTTTGCAAATCGAGGTTTTTTACAAAATTGAGGGATCCAGTGTAAGAAACTTCAAAACAGAATAGCATTTTTTAAAATTAGATCAAACAGCTTGAGCTTTTTGAATACGTTAGAAGGATTAGTTTACTATATGACGTGTAAAAAGATTTTGAAAGAATTGCAATTAGTTTGGAATTGCGAAGATAATAGCGAAGGTCGCTTTTTTACAACTTTTTTATCTGGACTTGTAATGAAAATTTAAATAAATAATTGCAAATTGCATTTGCATTTTTCAAATGCAAAGAAACTAATCTTTGCGAAATATTTCATATGTTTGCAATCTCTCTAGTGCTGTACTTTGGATTTT